CGAAAGTGCCACTGCGGTTTTGTGTATGAGAGTTGAGGTGTCGTTTTGTAGAGGTGTCGGTGTGCTGCTCATGGGTCTGAGATGTAGGGGTGTGCAGTGGTCAAGAATCGTCACAGGTTGCTGCGGCAGCGCGCCAAAGCAGCCGGACAGCGGCGAGTCTGAAGGAGCGCGTCATCCCGAGGCCGTGCATATGAATTAAGCGAGCATCAAATTCCCACAGACAAAAGTGCGAGTATGCAATGCCGGTTGGACAATTGAGTACATGACTTAAAGAATCACTCTCCACGATGCAGAATCTGACATGTGAAAGACTCCTTCAAAACAGCCGGTACAATTCAAAAAAGTTCTCAGCAAACACTGCGGAGCTAGAAAAATTGAGGGTTCAAAATGCCCGTGGCCGCTGCAGGAGGCTCTTTTTTGCTGCTACAGCAAAGGTTGGGTGGTGGTGTGAGACCAAAAGTGGATGTGGAGGTGGTAGTGGTGTGTAGATGTGTGGTAGTGGTGTTATGGGTCCGGTGGAGTAGAGTTGGTGGACCAGGCCAGTCCTTTGACAATGGCGTGGTCCGGGTGGATCACCCAGCAGCGGCCCTTCTGATGAAAGACCGCACCATGATGGTCGTTAAGGAGGTTCATGGCGTGTTCCTCACCTCCAGAGGTATACTTTGTGGCAGCACCCCAAGCAAGGAGTGTGATGATAAGGGAATGGGAATTCTTGTGGAGTTGCCAGGTGTTGTGGATGATGCGGGCAAGTTCGTTGTGGTCATGGGGTTGGTTGTGGGTGATGCGAACGCCCTGGGCAAAAAATCCAGGGTAGTTGGCAAAGTGGAGTGTGCTGGGTAAAAAACGGCCTTGGCGTAGAATGTTGGAAATGTTGCCGACGGGGCCTGTGTGGCCTGCGTTGATGTGGGCGACTTCCCGGTGGGTTGATGTGGTGCGGGAAACCGCAGGTGGCTCTGGTGTAGTGGCTTTGGTGTTGAGGAAGGGAAGTGAAATGGCGTAGTACTGGAATTGGTCGTATTGGTGAGTTGTGTCATTCCACTTAGCGTGGGTATATTGTCGGAAATCGGTGATCTCCTTGTAGGTGATGTTGCAGTCTGTGAGGATATTGGCAATGTACTGGTGTTGTGGTCGGTTGGGATTGTCGAGTTGGGTGGCGTGGAATTCGAGCCATTCCAGGATTTGGTCTGCAGGTGTAAAGGTGTGAAAGTTGGGTGGAGGTCGCCAACGGTTGATTGGGCGACGGAGGACGGCTGTGGTGGGATATTGAGAGGGGTCCGGGTTGGTGTGTTCGGTGTTGGGGCGTAGATCAATGGGTTGTGGTGGCGAACGACTGCGGGATGGCGTAAGGCTAGATGTGTAGGTGGATGTTGAAGGCGACCGCCGTCGCCGGGTTGTGCTGTGATGTTTGGAGTGGCGGTGATGGCGATGTCGGCGGCGGTGGCGGTGGCGTCCTCTGTGGTGATGGTCGGACTTGCGTCGGCTCTTGTGGTGGTGGCGGCGACTGCTGTGTGGTGGTTGTGGGGAAGGTGGTTGCGGTGCTGGTGAGGCAGTGGTGTCAGGTTTGTCTGGTGCTGGTAGTGAAGTTCCAGGTGCTGGTGTGGCAGATACCAGCGATGGGGATGCTGAATGTTGGGATACGGTAGCTGGTGGAGGCGTGTTTTGGACTGGTAATGGATTGTCCTGGGCAGTCGTGGGGATGGGTTGGATCGGTGGTGTTGGATCCGATGGTAGCTGCTGTTGAGGTGGAGGTTGGGTTGGTGTTGAGGCGTTGATGGTTTGTGGAGGCGGTGGCGGGGGCAACGGTTGGAGTGGAGGCTGTGTGACGGGGGGAAAAGCTGAATAGGGTTGCCAAACGCCCTGGGGGATGGCGCATTGGGGGTCTGTGGATGGATAATTGGCAATCGCAGTCTGTTGCTGTGTTGGAGGGGGATGTGTCAGTGTAGTGGGGGGAGGAAGTTCAGCCGGTGGTGTGGGATGAGGTGGTGGCAACAGGTAGGACGGGGGAGGTGCTGCTGTCGGAAACACTGGAGTTGGATGTGTGGGTTGCGGTGGCACGTGACATGGTTGGACAAAAGTCCAAGTGGATGGTGTGCCGTAGGTCAGTGCAGTGGCGGTAGGGGTGGACAAAAACGGTGGTGGTTGAAATGGTTGTGGTTGTGGGTGAGGGTATGCCGATGGTTGTGTCGAGGGAAAGGTGGGTGCAGTTGATGGTTGTGGCATCGGCCATGTGGGTTGAGGTTGTGTGGTAGGGAGTGGTGGTGGCGTGGTATGAGCGTAGGGCCACGGAAAATGCATGTCGTGGTCGTAGCTATGGCGCGGCGCGGCGCGGCAGCAAAAAGCAGCGGAGAAGTGCTGAGTTGTATTGTCTTGTTGTTGTTGTTGAAGGTGTCATCTCTGGTGTCAGTGGTGTGTATGTTGTAAGGTGGTGCTAAATGTAAGCTTGTTGGTAGGTGTGTGTTCATGCATCTCGAATTAAGCTGAAGAGTTGTAATGCCCATCCTTGAGTTCTGTCGATGAAAGAATCGCGGCAGCAACATAGCGAACATAGAAACACGCACATGATTGGAAACCATGAAAAGAAAACTGAATGCTGAAATCTGAGATCAGAAGTTCGGAATCTGAAGGATTCTTCAAGAACCGTTTTTTTTGGCCCGGCGGCCGGTGTGGCGGTTGATTCTGTGAGGGTGTCGGTGCCTTCCTGTGATGTTCCAGTGAGCGGTGGTGCGTTGGGGTGGTTGCTTTCCCATGCAAGAACGGCGCCCCTGTGACGGGGATCACACTCAGCACCCGAGTGGGACGGCTGAGCAGGACACACTTCGAACTTGGATTTTCAGTTAACGCAATCGTCTCAATGGGAAAGAAGGCGATGGAACGGCAAGGTGGAAAGGTCAGCTTAAAGTGTATTGTTTAACACAGGTTTCACGACAAGCGCAACTGGAGGTGGCGGTCAGCAGCTGCAGTGCAGTGGGAAACCTGTTTGTGGGGAAAGTATCATGTGGAACCACCATGAATCAAATCGTGGAAAAGTAGGGTGACAGCTTGTGGAAAAACTCAGCAGGTACACAATGCGGCGTCCCGCATTGCTTCACGACCGATCTATCACTGTCTTCGTTGGGCAGTGAGTGATAGTGGTCCACTGCCCCCCCTGCCTGTGGAAAAGTGGTGAGGTAAGACCCTTTGTCCAGGGTGGGACACACACACACACATTCGAGATATTGCATACTGAACTGAGTGCCACATGCCACATGCCCACCTAGGTATAAACACCTAAGGGTAACGGGAAGATCCCAACAATCACGAAGTCAGGGTGACGACGATCGCTCGCATCTGCAGAATGCATTAGCCCATATTAGCCCTTTAAAGGAAAGTATAGGGTCACAGCCTAAATCAAAAAAAGAGCAGGTACGTCTGGAAAGCGCTCTTTCCAGAGATCAGCCACAATTGCAGCTCTCTTCGTCGGGCAATCAATTGCAATGAGGGATTGCCCCCCTGCAAAATTCCAAAATCAACGGATTCCCTGTGATTCCAAGGGTTTCACACACACACACACACACACACGCCCCCCGCGTGAATGGGCCAAAAACTAAGGGGCAAACAAATGTGCATGTGTGCACGCCAAAAAGACCAAAAGACGAAGACATGGAAAGGAGACAAAACAAGACCAGTGTGCGTGGTTGCGATGAAGGGGAAAACAAGCGCACAGGGACAACCAGTGAACCAAACCTCATTATCAAGACCTGGGCGACCTGAAGCCTAGGTTAAGGTAAGTGTGCGCGTACATGCTAAGGGCCGGACCGTTGTGCGCGCAAAAGAAAGAACGGAGTGAGATGACGGAACATGAAGGCGGAGAAGACATGGAATGAAAAAGGAAAGAATGTGTGTGAAGGGGAAAGGATGAAAGGGGAACCAAATGGAGGGGCCGGAAAACAACGAAACCCAGCCTCACCAGAGCGAACCTAGGTAGACCTAGCCTCGTTTTATATTGTGCACGCTGTGTGTGCGCTCAAGGGGTCAAAACAATTCTGCGACCGCTGCAGTCTGCTCGAGCCGTTGCCAAATGTGGCTGGCATCTCACGTCCGCTTTGGACACCTCGTGGCTTGCCTGTCGGCTGCCTACTCAGTTTCAATCATTCAGCAAGTCTTGGCGGAGCCATAGCGTAAGCCTCCTGTCACGAAGTCGGCGACAGGGCGACGACGATCGCTCGCATCTGCAGAATGCATTAGCCCTTTAAAGGAGAGTAGGGTCAGCAGGTACGTCTGGATTGCAGCCCCTTCGTTGGGCAATCAACTGCAATGTGGGAATGCCCCCTGCTAAATTCAAAAATCAGGGTTTCACACACACAAGGTACGACAGACGTTGTAAGGGAAAAACACGTGGTCACACGTCGAAGTGATGGGTGAAAAAAACGGCGCCCGTCTGAAATGCACCGGTGAGGGATGAGACTGGGGGACTCATCAACCTAGGGGACTCCCTCCTTTGAATGGAAACATCTCTGAAGAGGCCTGGCGGCCGCCAAGGGCTTGAAGATGAATGAAGTATCATTAAGGGTCGACTGAAAAAGATGGATCATGGATCAACAGAATATGTGACCCCTGGAATTACAAGAGTTTCTTGACTCGACTATGCCTGACTCCGCGTCTCTTGTCTGGTTAGTGGACAGCAGCCCAGTCAGGGGGTGCCATCTGCTCCACGTGCTGAGACAGCAGGAATATGGACTGCAAACCCTAAGCCCTAAGCCCTTCACCCTGTCCGTCGCAGCAGCCGAATCAGCACCAAACAGACTCCCAAACTGCATATCACCCGAGCTACACTTCAACAGGTCCCAACACAGGATCCCCTTTGTACTACCTGAGTTTCAGGGTCTCATCTTGACTTGCACAAACGCTGCTACTCTCCTCAGGCTGCTTGCTGTGAAACCTTCACCGCAAGCAGCTCCCTCGACACTTGAAGCTGAGCAAACCCGCTGGTTTCCGCATCTGACCCACTCCCACCCCCGCGCCAGGGAAAGTCATTGCGGTGGGCCTCAGCGTGTGAGTTTTTCGATTTCACCAAGCTCATGGCAGGTTCGCAGCTGAACACTATTTGGAACCCACACAATCCACACCCCAGTTCTACCCAGTTCTATGGAGATTCTGTATGAGTGTGTACAAAGGAACCGGTGTGCACCCTGTTTTCAACTTGAGCGAGTGTAGATTTGGGACCTCGGCCTCAACCGATGCAATGCATGTTTTGTTGGCGCCAACATGCAAGGTATTCAGTTCCACCCACAAAGCAGTTTCTATGGAATGTTCGATCCTGGCAGTTTCACCCGCGCTTTAGCGTATTGTATTTCACGGCAGCATCAAACATTCAAAAAACAAAGCTCTTGTAAATTGCTGAAGCCTAGAAGTTGGGCGGCATATCCCTTATTACAAGTAACAGTGGATGATGATTAGTGAAGGCCTTGTTCAAAAATAGTGATCATCCATTGCTTACACCTTCCCTGGTGGGACAGACCCTCGACAAGAGGCTTTGCGCCGCTGCCCTCGGTGGAAATGTTCCGAAGCATCTTCCGAATGCTCACAGCAAGCACACCAGGCACCCCTTGCTCCGACGGTGCGTAGCGAGCACCAGCGAAGGCCTGCCGGAATCGCGATTCCGGGCGAGCCATGCGGAGTGCGCACCATGTAATTCATGTAGACTCTTGATGAATAAACCCCCCATATGAAGAGGATGTTCCATTTCAATTGGGTGCTGTATTCATCAAGAGTCTACATTCGTTGAGGCTGATGCAATCCAAGCTGCGGGCGATACACCCTCAGAAGGTACATCCTCAGAAGGGACCCCGTCGGTCCAACCGCACCTGGCTCTGCACCGCCGTGGGAGAGGTTTCATTGACTGCAGCTGTTTCAACCTGGCCGTCCGCCGGGCGGACCGCCGGTGCCAAGGATCGGAGAAGATCACGATCCGGAGGAGAGAGTAGGTGCTGGAGAAGCAACTCTCAATGGAGAGTACCAGGATCATCCTGGACATGGGTGTCCTGGCGATTCAACTACGTATTTTCAGGTCTCCAGACAAGGGCACCCGGACAGGAAGTGCTAGGTAGGTGTTGGAGGATCTTGAAACTTCTCGAATTTGCTTTCACGTCACTTCATGAAACACCATCACCATCACCATCTTCCCCAAAACCACTGCCCTCACCAAGCATCCTGGAACCCGCGCCCCCCCCCTCATCCCATCTCACCCTGCAGGACTGCAGACGACCCGCACCTCGACCACGCGCTCGATGTAGTCCAAGCGAACCTTGGGCACCTGCTTCACCACCTGCTAGTCTGGTCTCCGTGCTCGGGTCCGGTCCGGTCCGTCACCCGAAGATGGAAGATGCCCCAACTTGCGTGGGGGCATGCGTCGGTGGAGTGAGGATCAGTTGGTAAGGATCATGCTATGTGCAGTTGATCTAAAACTATGCGTAATCATATACCAGGACATTCAAAGTGACCTCTTTGGAGTCTCTAAGTGACCTTGTACAGACCTAAGTTACCTCATCCTGGGATATCAAAGGGTCACTTTGAAGGTCTATATGATTGCTAATATCACCTTCGGCGTTTTGAAGGCTGTCTATATATACTATGTTATACTATATGCTGCCTCTTCCGTCACTTCCCTCCTGGTGTCCAAGTTCAATACCTGGAAACTCAGTCCCAGAAACAAGTCCGGATATTTTCCCAGTCCCAACCACTTGATGTAATGAATCTCTAGGAAGCCATCTTGGAACAACCAGAACTGTTTCTGCTCGTGTGGGTTTCCAGGTATAGACGATGTGAGAGTGGTTGGCAATGATGAAACATCACCCTTGGCCCCTTGGCGAGATGTTCTGGCAAACAACGTCCTTTCTGAACATGCGACATCGTGCCACCCGCAAAAAAATATGAGTCCTTCAGCATATTTAAATACTTTTTTTGTTCGCCCGTGTTAGAGGTACTGGCAGATTTCAAGTGTTGTCAACATAGGTCATAAGAGAGCCTGGCTCGGACGGGCGCCTCCTGATATACGGGTGCCAGGTCTTCTCGGATGACCTCCACGATGTTGGCCTGAAGAGGCGCCATGTCTTCGAAGAAGCGAAGAAGAAGCGAAGTCGGAGTTTGCAACGCTCAATCCAATCGCTTCTTGATCATTGGTTGGGTATATCCCATATGAGTTACATTTAATTACCAAAGCCCAGTGGATGATGGTTGCAGGCCTTTTCCTAAAAAAATAGTGACGTTCTTGTTTACTGACTGTTGGTAAGTTCGGACAGACCCAAGCTGACTCCATCACCCAAGATGTGACCCTTCATGAAAAGCGCTCCAGGTTGAGTCCTTGGTGGTGCCAGACCTATACTCCCTCTGCCGCATGAACCCCAACGCTACTGGTGCGAGAACAGTGACATGAGTTGTCTTCCAGCTCCACACAGTAACTTAAGATCGGCCATGAACTGCAATCGCCGAATTCGGCGGCCTGTGGTAGCTCAATGGCCTGCTCTTCGACCAAGACCTGTGGTACGTGCACCACTCGTTCTTGCACCTGACAGGGGCAGCGGCCACAAGTGGGAGGGCCCAAGCACAAAGGTTTTCAAAGCGAGTGCAAGAAAGGGAACCCTACTAATATACACTGTGCCATCACAGCAAAATCCCATTTTGCCATCACAGCAAAAGGCAAACTGAGTAACATGACAAACCTACACACACTCTACAGTAATTCTTCTGAACCTTGCCTAACCTCATTCCACTTCCCAAATCATGCCCAACAGGTTGCCAACCCACAACCCCCAGCTTGTCGGCATGGCTGGCAGGTGTACCACGCATTCAAAACACACACACACACAAACACGCACACGTAGAATCCACGACGCACGTTCGCAATGCCACTTGCCCTGAAGAAACCTTAGGTCAAAAGGGAGTTCAAATGCAGCTAAGTCCTATAAGTAATGCAGCGGAGGTCTTCACCACCTGAAAACGCCCTGTCGGAAGACCACACCGTTCTCCTGCGTCGAGATCTTTGGCACCACTTTATCGCGCGGCTCGAACTTCGGCTTCAAGACCTGTCTGAAGTGATGCAAAGCTTGCTGGCGGTATTTGCCGTGAGGTGATTGTCCCTATAAATCGATGTTTCAAGTTTCATGAGATTTGTATGGATTAATAATGAATTAGTTCATTCTGACACCAAGAACAGTTTGTGAATCTAAATCCTTTTACTGTAATCATCTGTGCCCCTCAAGCTGCTTCATCACCATGCCACACCTGAGTGATGACGTCCACCGTATGCACTTGTTCGACCTGCCGGCGCCGACGGCGTCGACGAGTTCCGACACGGTCGGACGACTGCAACGCCGTCGCGACGGCACCTCCACCGGCTGCTCGTGCACCAAGTGGACTGGAACCTCCACCGCCTGGCAGAATTTCCGAGTTTGGAAGCCATTCTTCAGAAACCAAAAAGGCTTCGAAGTACAGTCAACAAAGGACGCAAACAGTATACCAAAAAAGAATTCAGGTCAGCTAGCTGCTCCGGTAGGACCCCAATGCTTTACATGTTGAATCAACCAAATAGATCGATATCAATTAGCTGTGTTGGACCAAGAACTCCTTCGTGTCTGCAGGTCGGACTTCCGATCGTTTTAGCCGGGATCGGCCGCGGCTTGGGCGGGCTGGGTACCCTAGTCTGACACAGAAGAACCATATATACCCTGGGAGTCCAAGACTATTTTTGAAGCGGTCTTTAGGTGATCCGAAAAGGAACTTCCTTTACTTGGGTGGTGCCTAAAATAGTCTTTGGACTTCTAGGGTATATATATATTATATATACCAGCACCCGACTCTACAAGTCTCCTCTGGAGGCTTTTGTAGACATAAAAGTTGCAGGTGGTGACCTGTTGTAGGGTCCTGGTATGTGACTTGAGAGGAGGCAGCGGCCGCTGAGGGTTTTTGTTGGGGAGACACAGCGCACCTCGAGGGGTTCTTAGGAGCCTACAAATGTGGGGCAGCTCGGAAGCACATGCAAGAATCTTAAGTAAAAACACAACACATCTTAAAATCATTTAACATCAGAATACATCCTGCAGATATGGTTTAATTGGTACACTTTAGGCCACAGGCTACTGGCTAGACCAATGTCTAGACCGACGCGCAAAACAACGTGATTGGTACACTCCGACTCACTAACATGGAAGTGGACAATGGCCTTTTTCACGTAGAAGTGTAAGTGGCAAACCGGATGGGGTGGATGCTACACGTCAAGTCTGTGTGAGTTCAACGCTCTCGGTCGGTCAGGTCGGTGAGTTCCTCGAGATCCCATCCCACCAGGCGGATCGATTAAAGGCGATGCGATCCGAGTGTGGTTCATCCCACGCAACACGCAACACTACAGACTGAGTTGTTTTTCTTTTGAATGGACATGATCCCTGCCTGATCCGAGCAAGCTCCTGTTCGTCGCTGTTTTTGTATGAGCAAACCAGCAAGACCTGCTGGGTATTGTCATTTCACCAACATCGTTCGAAATCATTCATTTCATTTCGTCAAGGCAAGAAGTTGGGTCCCGTTTTCACCACATGATCATGGGCTTCACAACATGTGCATTCTCGCAAAAAAACTGTCACTATTTTGTTGTTGTTGTTGCTGTGCTTGTTGTGGTTGTTGTTGTTGTGGTTGTGGTTGTGGTTGTGGAAAGTTAGTTAGTTAGTTAGTGAGTGAGTGGGTGAGTGAGTGAGTTAGTTAGTTAGTTGTAAGTTGTAGTTGTAGTTGTAGTAGTAGTTGTTGTTGTTGGTTGTTGTTGTTGTGGTTGTGGTTGTGGTTGTGGTCGTGGTCGTGGTCGTGGTCGTGGTCGTCGTCGTCGTCGTGGTTGTTGTAAGTGTTGTGAGTTGTTGTGTTCTCTTTTAAACAACATCGCATCGCCATCATTCAGCATGGTCATTGTGCTTTAACACCGACAGTGCTTGCTATAACCGCGTTGTCTTGAAGAATCGCATTGCTTATTGGAACTGGCGCAGGTAGACTGGCAATATCCAATGTGCTAAGTATACCCTAGACGTCCGTTCAACCATTAAAAAATGAGAACGACCTGGTCTTGCAGTGTAAAATCGGTAAAACAATGGTAGTTCGGGATTCAGCCTATTCATTAAAATGGTGGGCCACAAAGACTAGGGTATACAACACAAACATCATGACTATGAACCATGGTTCGTACTTGCGGCCCTCACCTCCTTTGATCGTGTTGCTTTCGGTTTCTGTTGCAAACCGGTGGCCGTGCCGTTGTTGGTTTCGGTGCCGAATTCTGCGAATTGCGAACACCTCGTTTGATGCGCTCCAGCGCATGGAGTCCTCACGGAGCCCTCACGGTTGCCGTTGGAGCTAAAGGACCATCGAGGCTGCATGGTTTCGCACAGATTTTTTCTGTGGTGTTGTGGTTTCGCACCGCTTTTGGGACACCACACCTCGAAGTCCACGCTAGTTTTTTTTAGTGACATGTCCATGTCCAATCCTCTTGAAAGGCATGCAAGCTTTTTTACATGCAATCCCGATATACCTGGAAACCGGACACCCAGTCCGGTTTCCAGAAACAATTGATATCAATCGTTCCAATATGGTTGGGACCGGAGATCCTTTACATAAGTAAAACGTTGGAACTGGGGAGTTCCATCCAAACATGTTTCTGGGACAGGGACTATAGGTTTGTAATGGCTTGTATATGATCTTGGCAGCTGTCATCATCTAAGTAGACACAACATGATAAGGGGCCTGGTCTGCCCATCGCGCCTTGGTCTGCGCTTCAAGTTGAACCTGGAAAACATGCTGCGGTGGGTTGTCACCACGCGCAGCGCGCCGATTGATGCCGCGGTGGTGTCAAGCCGCACAACGGCACGTGCCGCGACTCTTGTCAATCGTGGACTACGGTGAGAGGAGAAGTCGCAACACACATCCATCATCGATCAGTCAATGCCCAAAGGGGGGCAAGTCCCATTTGTACTACGACCTTTCCTCTGTATATATACATGCAGTAGTAGTATACGACGACCTAAACATGCGCGTCGTGTTAAAAACGCTATCGCAACCCCCTCCGATCCAAAGCGAGTCGTCTGAATGCTCGACTTCGTCGTCTGAAGTCGTCTCACACGACCGCGAGGTCGATGAGGTCGGTGGTACGGCGAGGTCGTCGCCTCCACATCTTGGGACGGGACTCCCCAAAAGGCTCGCTCGAGACAGCTCTGCTCGACAACGGTTTGGGTTTGAGTACATCGAGTACATCGAGTACCTATGAAACACGGACCCCTATTAAGGATTTGACCCAAAACATTGGCTCTGTCCGAACTTTGAATGGCCAAACACAAAACGCCGCATTGGTGATAGGGCTGGAATAGGCATTGCGCCGGCATTCCCCCAATTAAAGGGTCCGTTCCACTGAGCACTTCCCGCAGATCGCTGCCGCCGCTCCCGTCACCTTGGGAAATTCCCTCGGCGTACTCTGCCTCAGCTGTCATGAATGAACGGTGACGGTGCATTGCCCCGTTCATCGTCCGAGAAGGTTCACCGTATACATGGCTCGCTCGGACTCTTGTCAAAGGAGGTTACCAGTCTTCTGAAGTGCCAAGTCTGGTCGTTTTGTTCTATGCGATATGCCTTTTTCCAGATTGGAACATCTCGCAGCTCCAAAATTCCAAAGCAGTCCCACATTCCGTGGCCATAGATCTGTCAGGCTTCGTTCTGATCTGACCAAGCACCAACAAACAAACGCCCTGCAGCCCTGCTGGAATGACAGGCCAGAATCGCCACTGGACTTTGGGTACTTCTCTGATTCGTTCCACAGGCATCACCTGCGGCACCTGCCGGCGAAACCGAAAAGTCCCGGATTCCGCTGTCTTGGCACCGGGGCAAACCGCAGACAAACAAAGGTGGTTCATAGGGGAACATTGACAGAGTTCTAGAGGCTTTGAAGCTTTGGGGGGGGTCAACCTGTAGATGTTCCCTTCAACATCCTTCAATCAAATTCTGGGAAAACCTGCCCAAAGGTCTTCAAGTGGACCATGAGGCTTGTCCAAAGCTTTCTCTTCGAACCTCTGAAGGCTTAGGAAGCTTTGGCAGCCAAAGCACTCTGTCGCACTCTGTCTCATGCCACCCAGAATTCACGGGCCATGCGTACACTTGGTCCGTCATCTACTTTGTCCTCGCAAAAAGAGCACACACCTCAGCACCTCCTCCCCCCCCAAAGCTAAATTGAGGACTCTCTCGAAGATTGCGGCACAACCTCGAGCCCACCGCACACCGGGGCACCGCGGGGGCCACCGCCCACCTCGACGGGCGTTTCGTGCTGCAAGTGGATCGGCACCTCGCAGCGCCGGACGGGTGGAGGCCATCGCTTCGAATGAAGAGATTCCTCTAACAGGCTTGGTGGAAAAGGTGTTTGACTCACAGCCACATTGGGCGACCAAGATTCGGGGCCTGACATTGGCAAGAAAGCATTTGGCCGTGTTGGTTGGATGTCGGGACACAAGGTCCGGAAAAAGGACACCTTGACATCCCTCATGACCCTGAAGACCTGATGACCCTCTAAGAGCTCTGAACTCGAGGAACATCCCACGCCTTTTGCGAAGAAGGCCAACCAACTCGAGGGGTGTCGGCTCAGGGCTCCTTTCGACTGGTCCATCCTCCATTCTGAGATTTGATGACCCACATCGCTGATGGCCAGGCTGTGTAGCTCAAGGCCCGGTCGACCTGGTCCCGGTCCGTGCGCGAACGGTGCCTCCTCCAGGCGCTCGAAGTAACGCAGCTCGGGCCGGCGCACGTGTCTGTCCTCGGAGCGCACGGTGAGTCGAGGAAGACCTGTACAGGTCCTGCCCCGCTGGACCTCGGACAGGTACAGGTCCTGCCTGTTTCTTGTTCATGTCCCATATTCGGACAGGCACTTGAAGTCACCAGGTGCCTTAGACAATGGGTACAACATGTGTACAACGTGGTGCAACTTTCGTACAACATGGTACAAGTCGTACCGTTGTTGTTGTCGTTGTTTTATCTTCCCAATGGCTGACTCCTGAAGCGGCTTCAATATTTTAGGGTGACCAGGACCCTTTTCCAAGTCCCTAGGGATCCTGTCGTACCTTCTCAGGTACGGTGATGTGTTCGACACCGCTATGTAGGTGCCGTTGTCGGGTCCAATCACCTGCTAAGGTTCGGTCCGACTAGATCCCTTTTCCAAGTCAGTGACCTCTTTGGAGTGTTTGTGACCTCGTTGGAGTGTCTTAAGGACGGTCACGCTCCTGCTTTGCTGGAAGCCCACCGTCGCCCACGGCCGTCGCCCCTCGACCGTGGTAGTTGGTTCGTCCGTCCCACGGAGAAGGGTCGCTGCGGGTGCGGTCTTTTGCATGGTCCGTGCGGTCTGAAGTGAATCACACAGTTTTACAGGATTTGAATGAAATTGAATGGTCTACAAATGTCTACAATCTTCTCTTGAGCACATCAAACTTGATGTCTTGTGAAAGTCTTCTTAAATCCCAAAAAAAAATGTTTGATATTGTTTGATGCAACTCCTGATCAAATCCCTAACTCCACGGGCTTCGGATTTAACTCGACGTCACTCGGGACCCGACCACATATTGAACCGTGGTCTTTGGCACCTGCAAGGCCGCCCATTCGGCAGGAAATCGTGATTGTCTGGGAGTCGGTACTATCAAAAAACTGCTCTGACTGGGTAAAAGGACAATTCCTTGGTTCCCTATAGATCTTCCATCTATTATGCAACATGTCTGCCGAACTTGGCTGGTGTTACAGGTGAACAAACAAACAGTTTGCATATAGTTGGAAGATACAATATAGCCATATATATATATATATAATCTAGACACCTTGTCGCTGGGTCAGGGGTGGAAGATGCAACAAAAAACCGGTTGTTGACCGTCTGTCGATCCTGATTCATTCGCAGTGATCCACACTAGACCTCAAACCTCAAACTGTAGAAAAGGCTAACACTATGGCTTTCTCCAATCCAAGGATCTGGGTGGGTTAGTACGCCGAGACTGTTTGTCAATCTGTTCTCTGTGGCGTCTCAAAACTGTTGAGATCAGTTCAGAAAGTTTCTCAGGTCTAGCGAGAGAACAACCAGGTTCTGACATGATCCGGAGGCTTATGTTAAATCGGTCATTGCATGCAAACTCACCTGGAAAGGCTAATAAAATCAACTAACTACAGCCAATGCCAATGCCTTAGCACCAAGGCTCTGAAGATCAACATCAACTGCCACAAAGATTCCTGTTCTACATCGCATATCAGTGTAGAAATCAAGAAACACAGAGAACCTCGGGTGGCCGTGGTGCTGTTGTTTGGGACGATATCCAAATCATGATTGACCGAGGGACCTGTATTTCTATTGTATTCTTGCCTTTTTGGAGTACAGTACAACAACTCTTCGAAAGAAAAGGTGATGCATGCAATCTATAGCAATAAACATACCTGAACCAAGAGATCATGTACTTCCAAGACTACCAGGGGGGCAATCCCCAAGCTGTGATAAACAAAAAGACACACCAACGACTCGCCGATGCTCATGCTGGCCTTTCGAACGACTTCCCGAATCTCCACTTGGGGGACCTCCACAATCTTTTCCTTACGCAAGACCAAAAAAACGAAGCACGAGCGGCTTTGGAGACGGTCCTTCATTTGAGGAGATTTTTACCACCAAAGGCCATTTAAAACATGTCTCAACGAGACCCTACAGGTCCAGTCTGACCCAGATCCAAACGTCCTGAAAACCTCATTTTCGTCATGCATGATCAACTCCGGTAAACTGAGTTGTCCTACATGAGAATTTATATATGTCTACAGATTCTTGCTACTAGTAGTACGGCCAGGAGCTACTAGTAGCGTCCTTGCTCCTAGTAGTAAGGCCAGGAGCCCCTAGTAGCGTCCTTGTTCCTACATGAGTATAAAATAGTAGCTTTAATGTTATTATATAGTAGTAAGGCCAGGAGTCCAGGAGCCCCTAATGGCGTCCTTGTTCCTAGTAGTAAGGCCAGGAGCCCCTAGTAGCGTCCTTGTTCCTAGTAGTACGGCCAGGAGCCCCTAGTAGCGTCCTTGCTCCTACATGAGTATAAAGTAGTAGCTTTATTGTTATCATATAGTAGTAAGGCCAGGAGCCCCTAATAGCGTCCTTGTTCCTAGTGGTAAGGCCAGGAGCCCCTAGTAGCGTCCTTGCTCCTACATGAATATAGAATAGTAGCTTTATTGTTATTAGTAGTAAGGCCAGGAGCTACTAGTAGCGTCCTTGTTCCTAGTAGTAAGGCCACGAGCCCCTAGAAGCCCCTAATAGCGTCCTTGTTCCTAGTAGTAAGGCGAGGAGCCCCTAGTAGCGTCCTTGCTCCTACATCAGTATAAAAGAGTAGCTTTATTGTTATTACTAGTAAGGCCAGGAGCCCCTAGAAGCGTCCTTGCTCCTAGTAGCGATGCCCTTTGCTCCTAGTAGCTTCTTGCTCCTAGTTGGTGTATAATTCCTTAATGTTCTTTATGTTCTTTGTATCCTCAAACCTGAAAGCAGCAACATGGAGCAACATCCAATCACTCCGCTGATAAAACTCTCCTGATCCGACATACAGCCACATTTTCTGCGCATCATGAACTCTAATCCTTTCGACTCGGACTCAACAAATCACAAACAGTCCTGGTAGAGCACCTGTGGAACTTCCACGACGCGTTCCACATATTCAAAGACCGGCTTTGCGACCTCACAGGGTGGGTTGTGACCCACAAGGCGAGTGGTTTGTCACCCCTCGGACCGGGACGTGGATTTGGACGCCTGAAGGGTTCCGTCGAAAAACACGCACCACAAGATACCTTTGTGTTACCCAAAGGTACCCCTAGGCTCCCTGAATATTCCCTCGAGCTCGCTGATTTTAGGAAGGCTGTAGGAAGGGGATCCACAAGTTTTTCGAAACGGCTCTTGACTCTTGAGCGAGCATAGCGAGCTACTTTCGCTTCCTTTTTTGGTGGCCTAGGGGCCCCAGCTTCTCGTCGAACAACCAAACGTGGGGCCAGGTGACTCCATACACCACGAGATATGCACCATTTCTATCTGGTACGAACTGGAAGGCCAGGTATCGGACTCTTTCCCAGACTCCCCAAAAACAGTGAAGCCGAAGCCATGTTAAGCCGACTGTGAGGTCCAGAAGAGTGTATATGGTTCACATGATGAAACCCTGGTTTGGGTTCAACCGACCTGGGCCTGTGGCAATACCTACAGGGCTACACAGTGGAATTCTCCGCGGCATCTTGTATCTGCCTCTTTCATCTTTGGACGGCTGGGATGTTGCGATTCTGAAGTGAAGACCACAACGGATTCCGCTGCTAAAGGTCAAACAAGTCAACGGATCCCACCTTCTTCTCCACATATTGTACCTGCACTTTCGGCACCTGTCTCACCACCTGCCGAGATCGTGGGCTCCTGGGAAACCTCATCTGAGAGGGAAGGACGTGATCCGCCGGACCCGGGACCCTACAAGTCAGCTTGACCCCATGAAATACTGGACGCTGGTCATACCAAACCCGAAGGAGGTAGTCACAAAACAAACAGGTTTTTACTGGGTCGGGCTGGACGTAGGGGTTTGTTCGGCTGAACCACTTTTCGCGGGACCTGATTTGGGTTCAGCCAACAAGGCAGGTCCCCTGACTCGGGCGTGAAACTTGCGATCGCTGCCGCAAATGGCGGGTTTGGGACTTGCAGCTCGACACTCTGTTTCTGGAAAACCATCCGATGTTCTTTTCAACCCCAAAGCCAAGGAGATGGATATCTTAATGGATGGATGGATGGATAGATAGATATATAGATAGATGGAGAAACCAGTCCCAGTCAGGCTATGAAACTTCGTTTACTCATTCGTCCAATTTTCTCTCCGCAGAGCTCCACACTTACTGTAGTCAAACTTGCAATTCCACATTTACTGCGTCTGGATCGGGTAAATTAAGCTCGAATCTTTACATATAATTTCTGGCAACTGAATTAGCTTGCTCGGCCTCAAGTAGAAAATGCACTCTTGCAAGTGTGCATCGGGCCAGGCATCTTCACCAATCTTCGAAACATTATGAGCCCCAATCGGCTACATGAGTATACTCATGACATGATGCGCTTCAAAAGTATGGAGGGACACCCAAAACACTCCAAATTCAATGAAAAGGAAACCTGCGCATCCGAAAAGGAACAAGATTGAAAACCACTTTTTCACTTTTGTTCAACTGATTTCCTTTTTTTTGTGGCACTTTCGAAGCGCTAGCTGGATGGATGGATGCATGGATGGATGGATGGTCCAGATGGAAGTGACTTTTGGCCCTGGCAGAGACACGCCAGAATTTGGCCTTGGCAGAGACATGCCAGAAGGCTGTTCCGTCACGCCGTGCCATGGTGTTTTCTTAATTTGTAACCGGTCTTGTGGTGTGGCTTCCGGGGCTTGAACAGGTTTTTCTCATTTGGTTCAGAAATGACATCTACAGCCTTTAAGGATGACCCTGGTTTCGACCCTTGGGTGCCCCCCCCGCTTCGTCTTTTGTTTTCTCTATGTGTTGTGTCCACAGAACTGCCTCCAGCTGCCCTGTACACCTGCCAAAAAAGACGTCAAGGTGGTCAAAGTGTCCCCTCCAAGAACTCGAACCAAACGCTGCCATTCTGCGGATTGGCTCCACACCTCTCCTTCGGGCACCAG